TTGTTAAATCAATCAAATCATAGAATGCATGAAATTCTATAGAACAAAAGATTTATTTTCTTTAAAAAGTGGCATAAAATAGCACTATAAAAATTTATAGGCTTTGGCCGGGGATTTAGATCAGTGGTTCCACCGCCTGCCTTGCAAGTGTAAGGACCTGAGCTCGATACCAGGTCCAAAAAAAAAAATTTCTAGATTTCAAAAGATCTCATTTGGATCCTTGTTAGAAAAACCAACAGAAAAAAGTACTAGACACAAAGTACTAGAGAATACATATAACAATTTCTCAGATATCCAACTTTAAGCTGGGTAAAGTTACTAACAGTTGCTGTGCTCTGAATTTACCACCAGTACTTTCAGTTGAGGCTATACTTCCTACTGGGTACTCTGAGCCCTCAAATGAACATAGCCAGCCAGAATACAATGGCAGGTCCAGTCTTGCAAGATATGCAACTACTCAAGAAGCAGGTGCTTTTGGTCGGAGGACTCATCAGCCTTGCTGAAGTTGTTTTAAGAAGTTCTTTGTGGATTAAGACTTCCAGCCCAACCATTCTTTCCCTCACCGCAGTTAGCCCTATACTGACTTCTGACAACTCTTTCAAACGTCTCTAGGTCTCTCTCCCCAACTTTCTTCAAAAAAACTTTTCCCCAATAAATCTCTTGGGATTCCTGCTTCCTAAAGAACCTCAACTAAACAACTGATTAAGGATTTACTATTAATTTTCTTAGGCATAATGTGGTTATTTTTTAAAATCCTCACTATTAAAGATGCATGCTAAAATTATTTATAGGTGAAGTGACAGGACTACAATTAACTTTATATCCCAGCAAAAAGGGAGAATAGACTACTATCAGCAGGATAGTGATTATTTTCTCTACTTTTGTATCTGAAATGTCCATTGGAACATGTGAAAAATACCTAACCAATATTGTAAACTGTCGTGGGCATTAAAACCAAGGAAAGTCTGAGAAACTGTTACAGCCAAAGAGGAGCAAAAGGAGACCTAACAACTACATGTAATTATAATATAACGCAGTAGCCGGGACTAGATCCTGTAAAAGAGAACATTAGGGGAAAACTGTGGAAATGTAAATAAAGTATAGACTTTAATAAATTATCAGTTGGGAATGTGGCACACACCTGTAAATCCAGCACTCTGGGAAGCTGAGGAAAGAGGATCGTGAGCTTGAGCCCAGCTTGGGCAATTTAGTGAGACCCTCTCTCAAAAAAGTGAAAAGGGCTGGATCCATAGCTCAGTGTGAAGGCACTATGTTTAATTCCCAGTACTGCTGTCAATCTATTAACATCAAGATTAGTTCATTTATTGTAAAAAAATACATAGTATTATGTTTGTAATAGGTAAAATTGTATGGGGCATATAGAAACTGTACTATATTCACAGTAATTCTGTAACTAAAACTGTTCTAATGCTTTAAACAAGGTTTAAAAGAAGCTTATTTAAATGTCATATATAAAGATCCTGAATCAACATAGTCCTTTTAAATTTTATTTTTAATCACTGAGATACAAGTTGTGGATTTCTCCCCATTGATTCATTAGCTAGAAAGTGTCATTGATTTTTCGGAGCTTAAAGAGAGTAATTTTGAAGACTGAAACTCCTTGTAGACTGTCCCATAGCTTCTAAACATGTAACTGATGAACCATGCATTTGTTCCAATCAAGTTTTAAAGTTTGAGGGCCAGGGATTTAGCTCAGTGGTTCTGTAGCCTACCTTGCAAGTGCAAGGTCCTGAGTTTGATCCCCGGTACCAAAAAAAAGGAAGTTTTAAAGTTTGACAAAAATGTATCATTGTCACCTATTACCAAAAATCTTCAAGCAATAACAGAGATGAACCTTAATATGGAACAACAAAGATTTCGTTCCACAATCTCTTAGATTTGAAAACTTCAGTTCCAATGATTATTTCATTTCCAACTAAAGGGGTTATGTCAAGCTGCCAACATCCATGCTTCTGGTTTTACTGATACCACCTTTTGTAATGAAAAGACCAGGCCTTTTTAAAAAGCCAGTTCACATTATATTAAACAATGATGCAATGTTCAAAAAATAGCAATGCCACTGACCATGATGACACACAAGTATCATACCAGCACTTCAAGACTGAGGCAAGAGGATCATGAGTTTGAGCCTGGGCTATCAGATAGTGAGACCCTATCTCAAAAAAATTTTTTCGACAAAGAAATGGATTTGAAAGAATTTAAAAGCTTTGACCTGCACCCAAGAATTACCTCAAATATGTATTCAAACAGAGATTGCTGGGCTTCAATGCTCAGATTCTGACTTGTGTTGGTTGGGGACAAAGAATATTTTTCTTTTTCTTTTTTTTTTTGGTACTGGGGATCGAACTCAGGCCCTTGCGCTTGTGAAGCAGGTGCCAGAACCACTGAGCTAAATCCCTGGCCCTCTTTTTCTTTTTTGAGATGAGGTCTCACTATGTAGTTCAGGCTGGTCTTGAAATCATGATGATTTTCTTGCCTCAGACTCCTGAGTGCTGGAATTACAGGTTTGGGCCACAATGCCCAGCTAGAATTCTGTATTTCTAAGAGGATAAGTGAAGATAACGCTAATTAGTAGTGTAGGAAACACACTTTTGAGAACCAAAATATTTAGTAAGATAATGATTATGCCACACAAAAGCAAGCATGTTTCAGGATAAGGCACAAAGTTTTGCAGTCATACAGACTAGCTTTGGGACACTGGGCAAATTATCCTCCCAATCTGTACAGTCCACAGCTCTTTAAAGAATAAGGACACATATAAAGCACCTAGTATACTGCCTGCATCAGTGTGGCACATATGAGTATTGAATTAGTAATTACTTTATGCTATACTAAAGTTATACTTAAGCATATTGATTTTAACAAGATTATAAGAGGCCCTTATAGACCTATGATTACCAATTAGAACTTCCAAAGTACGTAATGAATAAATACATTGTACGCCTATAATCCCAGCCCTCAGGAGGCTGAGGCAGGAGGATTGCAGAGAGTTTGAGGCCACCTTGGGCTGCAGGGTGAGTTGAAGGCCAGCTGGACTACATAGTGAAACCTTGTCTCAAAAAACAAAAACAAAAATTAATCACTGATTTAGATCATAGCATGAACATGACTTGAATAATTTTTATTTTCAGCTACTGATGCTGTTTATTGCCCTAAGCCATGAAACTTTCAATCCACCACAGAAAGCTAACAAACTTTCAATTTTTCTCAACATTATCATATGAATGTATTACCAGCAGTGATTTACTTATTCTTCAATATGGATTTCCTATACATTTGACAGTATAGTTTGTAGTTTTACACAAACAATAACTCAAATATCTTTCTAGTCATAATCTGCTTCAATAAAGCTGAAATGTCTATAATAACATTATTCTTGGTTAACCACAATAAACAATTCACATTTTAAAGGAATGTAAATATTTCTTTGGATACATGTCTATAGTACATTGTAAAGACTGCTATGTCTAAACAAGGATAGAAACCAACATTGAAGGATGAAGACTATAAAGTGAGTAACAGCATATTTTAACATAAAAAACATACATTGCAGTCAAAATTCTTGTTTTTTACATGTATAAAGTAAAAGTTCAAACTATCATTTTTTTGGTTATTTTGAGACAGAGTCTTGCTATGTAGTTCAGGTTGGCCATGACCTCACAATATACCCCATACTGGCCTTGAACTCAACCTCAAAGTGCCTCAGCCTCCGGAGTGCTAGTATTATCACCCCCAGCTGGACTGACCTTTTTAACTGGGTCAAATTACCTGACACACAGAGGCCGAAGATTTAGCTCAGTGGTTCTGCCACCTGCCTTGCAAGCGCAAGGTCCCGAGTACGATCCCCGGTATCAAAAAAAAAAAAAAAATTACCTGACACGAATTTTTTCCTTTGTGTAAAAGCATTGTGACAGCTAGGGAGATAGGTCAGTAGCAAGGCACTTACCTGGCATGTTTGAGGGCCCAGGTTCAATACCCAGAAACACACATACATGCATGGATGCGTGCATTATGATTCATAGAAGTTTTTTTTGAAAGTGGGAGTAAAATTATGCATTTGGTCAAGGATTAAGAACAAAGTTTTGCTTTCTAGTTTCCTTTTTATCTTGTTAGACATAAAAATGAAATCAATGCACAGGAAAGTATATCAAAACCAGTCCTATCTCTTCTCCCTTTAACATGAAGGTTCAACATTATATATTTTTTCAAGAGTTGACCAAAAATGTAACCTCCTGTAAAGATAAAGACTAGAAACAGAGTTAAGATGCTAATAATATGTGTGCATACATACATGTACAAACAGTGACTTAGGAGGAAAAAAAAGAGATCTAATAAAGTCTACAACAGAGTTCCAGTTTTAATGAAGATAATAAAATCTTACAACTTTTTTTCCAATAGGCTTGCAAGTGGAAAATGTTCACACAGAAGGACTTGAGACATTAAACAGACTAACAAAGAGGCTTGTTCACTTAGTTAGACATTACTGAGATTAACTTAAGAGTTCTAGAAGTAAAAAAGATCCGCTTATGCAGGTGTATGAAGAATGACACATTAGATAAAAGATTATGTAAGTCATTTGCTTAAAAAAAATTTTTTTCTTGTTATCTTTTTCAAACTATGAAAGATGTGAAATTCTTTAAATACCATCAGATAAGTTAGTAATAGTTCCAACTTGAAGAAATTACTTGTATAGTTTTAAAAACAATCAAGTTTCAGTCTAGTTGAACATATGTATAGTGTTTTAATTATTCAAGAAGGCCAATAGTAATGTATTCAGACCATAACACTGTATTATTATTTCTTAAAATAATATTCCTTTCAAAATAATATACCAAATAAAGATCTTAAAAGTGCCACATGCTGTTTCAATATGAGGTACATAAGCCAATTAGATAATCATTATCCTTTAACTTCAGAAGTAAAATTCATGGAGCAGATTTCACCAATAGTACAAGGAAGGAAAAAAAAACCCAACAGTATTGAAAAATAAATGAAAACTTACTTTTTATTGAGTGTTTATTTTTTACATGCCAAGCACATTAAAAGTGAATCCATATGAAGTTGACTATTCCATAAAACCTATGCAATGGGAATGACCAAAGCTGTCTACACAATACTAATGAGTTCAATAAATTATCCAGAAGTTTTTCCACAAATACGTGGGTTATCTGAATGAGCTGATTTTTCAACAAAAGAATAAGTTTTAGCTTTCATATGGTCTTTGCTGATAGCAATAGCTACTTCTTAAATTTAGAAAAACAAAACTTGTGGAAATAAAAACTCCACATTGCATAGCCAAATGTTCACACAAAAAAAAGGTTCACTGAAATGTAACATACACCTCATCAGGGATCCAGAGGGGAAAACAAAACAAAACACAGGTATTTAATCAATATCCATCAAGTAATCATCACTAACATGGTATTACTACCAGAGAAACTGTCAGTACATAAACTTTAGATTAGAGGAGGCTTAATTACCTAAAAAAAACCCCAGTAATAATGCATACAGAAATATTAATTTGAAACACATATAAAAATCATGAATAGCTTGGTGCATCTAACATACATTGAATTCTTGTTACTTCACTACTGCTATAAATTCCTTAATAATGTCCTTTTCCTAATGCATATTGTTTAAATATGGTATTTCCTAATATACGTCAACTCCTCCCTTCCATTGTTCAGTAAATGTTGCAGCAAACTAAACAGTACCTATTAACTAGATCTGAAATACAATGGCTGGATAATTAATACAAAAAGTACTTTTGAGGGAATCAGAGTAGGCAGCTAATGACTACTGCTACATTTTGTTATTGATACACTGCTAAATAGAAGCGCTGGTCCATGGCCATTTATTCAAAACTTCCATAATACCTGTAACAGTATACCCACATGATTAATAAATATTTGTTGAAATAAGGTATGAAAATTTAATATAACCCCCATATACATACTGTCACATACATATAATTATATGGGGGTGAGGGTATGAATTTATGAGATTTAGCTAAGAAAAACAGAAAACAATATGGGCTCAGGTTTTTTTATATAAGGTTCAAGTCTTTAAACTGAGAACCCACCTCCGTACATCAAAAGAAATTGAACAATATAGGAAGGAGATGCCTTTTTATATACGTGCTTGAGTTTAATGGAAAAAAATACTAGTTCTTAGATAAATAATTTAAATTAAGATTCTCCTTTTCCTTTTTTTTTTGGTACGAGGGATCAAACTCAGGACCTTGCTCTTTCAAACAGGCACCGGAACCACTGCGCTAAATCCCTGGCCCTAAATTAAGATTCTCATCAATGGGATGTCCTCCATAAGTACAGTTCTAATGCAAAAGAAGTCAAGCTTTATCGTTACACATTAGGACTGGTACACATATAATATGAAAACGTTTAACATTAGTTTTAACTTACTATTTTAAAGTTCTGATTCTTGAATGCCAATTCTCTTTCATTTAATGTATTTCTTTTAATGAAAGGCTGTTGTGTTTGGTTCCACACGAGAAACCGCATGAAAGAATGAAAATATATGCCTCAATCTTGGAAACATTTAACAAAATCATGAGTAACTGCCAATACAACATGTAACTTAATAGTCACTGATTCACAATTATAAAACTTAACCAAGAAAAATAACTACCATTGTACATGTGAAGATTATTTAGCACATCAATTATCAGGTCCAAGGTCTTTACTGTTTTGTCTTATGGAGTCGAGCATATGGATGGTTCTATTACACTGACTTACATTGTTTTCAAAAATTAAAGGTGGACTCAAACTTTTACATATTAATTTTCTAATTATAAAAATCCATATTACTCCAGAAAACACAAACCACATATAACTGAGGTAGGTTTTTCATGTTAATATATATTGCTTCTACCATAACTTTAAAAATTTAAATTTATGAAGGAAAAAAAAATTGTTTCATTTACCTGCCTGACACTTAATTTTCTATATTTTAAACTACTTGAACTATTGTGAGAATACTAATCTGATTTAGGTTAGTTAAAAATACACATCCCACATATGTTCTTCCTTTCTAATAATAACTATATTACAACAGATTAATAATCCTAGAAAAAATGAAATAAAGAACACTACAGAAAATTTCAAGATAATTCATATCAGAATGGGGAGGGAAGTCATTTTCACTGTAAACATAGGAATTTTAAATGTCATGAATACAACTGTGGATGTGTTTTATGTCACAATTTCCCATGAGATATAAAAAACAGTATTTCTTAATAGGACTGTCACAAATACCTGTACTGTATCAGAAATAGCTAAGTTTTCTAGGGTGTTATCTTTTATTTATTTTTTGGGGGGGTACTGGGGATCGAATTCAGGACCTTGTGCTTGTGAGGCAGGCGGCGGAACCACTGAGCTAAATCCCCAGCCCTAGGATGTTATCTTTTAAAAATATATTTTCAATAAACTTTAAGGGGAAATTATAGCAGATGATGCTGCATTTTTCAATAGTCAGTGAAAAAAATCTGTATGTGAAACAAAAAATCTGCATGTTTTAAGGAGGTGGAGGAGACTGTTATAAATGCTTTCCTTAAATTGTCAAGCTAATGTATTTGCTATTGATATCATTGTATTAAAAAAGCAAAATCACTGCTGTAAATATTCTCAATAAATCAAAGAAAGGGAAAAAATTATAAAACAATTCAGTCTTTACAAATGTCCATAACTGACATAATTTTTAAAAGTAAAATGTTCCTTTATATATGAATTAAACAGAAAACTGGAACTAATTCTTTTAATGAAAAAAATACACTAATATATTTTAAAACTGGATACTAACAGCATTTTCAAACATACAAAGGGTAAATGAGGAAGTAGGTAATAGGGACATTTCTGCCAAATATACACAGGGATGACTAAAATGAGATGAATCCCTTACAGCCAAGGTAGTGAGCCTGGGATACCACCTTGCTCTGTGGGCAGCAGCTCACTGTTCCTGTGCCAGGTAAAGTCTCAGAGAGGAAAGCCCTTATGCAATAATTCTATAATCTAATATTAAACATTTTGTGAGATATAGAAAAACTGCTCCAGAGATGAGGTTAATTATTAAACTAAAGGGGGAAAAATGTAGTAGCTAAAATTGTCAATTTCAGAACCTTCAATAGAAAATACAGGAATAAAGATACAACAGTAGCTGATTCCAAAACTAAATTATATGATCCGAATTATTCTTTAAAAATGATGATCTTTAAAAATTCTCAAGTCTAGGTTTCCAACTAAATCTATTCAGCAGCTATAGCCAGGGATTCTTTTCAAGTTCCTCAAATGATTCTGATGATTGGCCAATTTTGAAACCTGAAGTGGTGAATGCAGAGATTTTTAGAATTTAACATCCGATGTCAGCACTACTCCATACTTTTCCTCACTTGTCTTATCTTACATATTTTTCTAATGTAAATGAATGAATGAGTTTTGCAAGTGAAGGTAAAAAGTCAGCACAGTATTCAAAATGGATTTTACTATGGTCTAGCCACTCCCACACACTGACCCATACATTCATATCACTACTGACTGCTACCTAAGATTCACTACCAGGCAGACATTTCTTAATTTAATATTAAGAGAGGGGGTGGGTTCCTATTCAACAGGAAAATGTAATATGAAAAAACCCTCAGTACTACGGATATTTAATAGAAGTGAACATTTTAATAATTCTTCAAAACTCATTGTTTTTAGGGCCGGGGATTTAGCTCAGTGGTGCCATCACCTGCCTCGCAAGTGCAAGGTCCTGAGTTCTATCCCCGGAACCCCCCCACCCCCCAAAAATCATTGTTTTTAAAGGTTCAGTGTTAGGAAGAAAAATCCCTTAAAATTGGGATAGGGGAATATTCTCTCATATGAGAAAAACTGGGTCACAGTGTTTCTCCAATTTAGAAATTAGGCAATGTTATTTCAGTACTACTTTTGTTTACATATATTGCTTTGTCAATATATACATATAAAGGTTTTAAGTGTGAGTAAATATTGTGGTTCAGATTTTAATGCATATGATCATATAAAGGTGGATTTTCTTCTTAATCACTGAAATTGTACCACTTTCAAGGACTAAAGAATAAACTTTTAAAATTTTAGAAAAATAAAAAAGTAGTACCTACACAAGTAATTATACATTAAAATTACAACTGTATGTTTTTCAAAAATTAGTCATTGAAAATTTTTTCAGTATTCAAACACAATAGTAAATTTTCATTTACTATAGCACAATTCAAGTATTCACTTAAATTTATCCTTAGCCAGGTAGAACATGATATTAAGTAACTTTTTATAATAGCTTTCCTTTAAAAGATTAGTTATACAAAATAGTGTGATTACTTATTACTATAAATCACAGAATAAGTGGAAAGAACAAATGACGTAGACACAGACCTTTACAAGTAAGTTTTCAACACATAAAGTTGCACACATCAGAAATAAGGCATTTGTAGGTAATTCCCCCAAAGTATTCAAATTCATGTAAACAAAGACTATGTATATTCTTTTAGGGAGAAAATGCATTAATACAGATAAAATATACTCAAACAGTTGTGACTTTAAACCATATATTATTTGAACACCACAGAAAACCAAAAGAGGCATTACCTATCATTCTAATTACTAAAAGATGCCATTTGTGAAATAAAAAGTTGATACTTTTTTCAAAGTAATAATGAAAAAAATATTTTGAAAATAAACATCATCCTTTTTCTAGAAATAAATATACATAGTTAATGTACGGCAGCATAGGAATATTATCCTAGCATTAACCATAACACTCAATCAGTAGTTTTAAATTTTTTTCCGTATTGGATCTTGAATCTTCTACCTTGTCAGCTGCCCAACAACTTTCAACAGAGTTTTATTTTCCTGCTTTAGCTGTTCATTTTCATCTTCTATGTCATCTAGATCCTTAAAGGGAGGAAATGAGGAAAATAATACTTTAAAAATAGTCTCGAAATAAAAGACTTTAAAAATACACACTCAAAAGAAAATCCATTTAATCACATAATTTTGAAATGAGGATAAGTTCTAAAAATAATTTAGATGGAGTGTGTTTCACCTAAAGTGAACAACCATTACATGATTCTTTATTTATTATCACAAGCATATAGGCCAATTCTTGTCTGATCTTTCAGCTTTTCAAGAAAAGCTAGAAGTCAGGATTTTATGTTAATCTTTCCATTTTTAATCATCATAATTAACTTTATTTTGTTTTGGTAAAACAAATTTCATTCCCCCTCTACAAAACAGAGCTAAACACAGCACACATAAAGGCCAATACGCAGGTTGCAATTTTGTGTCAAGATGTACAGATACAAGTTCTGGATGTATTGTGCTACTGTGTGTGATCCTCAAAGGAATACATCTGGGGATGAGACTAAGATGAAAGAACTGAGTCATACGCAAAAGAGGATCCAGGATACACAGCACTGATCTAGTTCAAAGTATATGTTAAGCTTCTTCATGGCATTTTGTTTGAGGAAAAGATTTTAAAGTTTAAAAGAAAAAACAAAAACTGGAAGCCATTAAAGTAGGTATTCATTCTCCAGCTCTAAAAGATATGACTTAGCTCTATTTTCCCTGTATTAATTGTAGCTTCAAATATGCAACTGTCCAGTTAATACTAAAACAATCCACTATAAGTTTTAGTTACAAGAAACAGTATTTCAAGGCAGACTATTTACTAATTGTTACAAAAGCAGATATTTACAGGTTTATCCTTGCAGTTCACAATCTAAAACTTGAGACAATCAATTTGAATCACAAATGTACTGTAAGATAAAAGCAGTCTGATAAATTTAGTATACTACCTCTGCACAATTACACAAATGATTTGCAAGTTTACGAAAATCAGAATTTGCATTTATTTACAAACTGAATGATGTTAGGAATTAATCTGTTGAAACAACAACTACAAAAATAGGTGATTTGGGCCAGGGATTTAGCTCAGTGGTTCCGGTACCTGCCTTGCAAGCAGAAGGACCCAACTTCGATCCCCGGTACAAAACAAAACAAAAAATCAGGTGATTCCTGAAATTACAACTGAGATCTACCTAAAATTTAAAATTTTTAAGTGGTAAAATACATTCATGGATCATTACTAGATTATAATCTCACTAAGGGAAGGGATTTTATCATTCTTTTTATTGCTCACAATAAAAATACATTACAGAACTGAATTCCAATATAAATAGAGGAACACCTGTGTTGAACCAATATGAAAGGCTGCCTGTTGTTGTTTTTTTCCTTTTTGTGGTACTAGGGATTAAACCCAGAACTTGCACATTGAGCTATTCCCACCCTTGTGATTATTTTTTATCTTGGGTCTGGCTAAAATGGGCCTCAGATTTGTGGTTCTCCTGCCTCAATCTCTCAGAGTGCTGATGTCAGGCCAGTGCAAACTCCTGACTTATCTTAAAGCTTGATTAGAATAGGTCTGCATATAAAGAAGCCTTTTTATCTTTTCCTCTTTCATGATTAAAGATTTGATTGGGAGAATCTGCTTATTTTCTCCCTGAAGCAAACATTTCTTCCTTTCATTTTATGTAAAGCCCTCTAAAAAGCAAAATTATAGGATCTTTCCTCATTACCATTACCTAAATATGACCTGCTTTTTAAGCAGCAAATACATTCTAGGGCTAAAAACAAAACCGAAAAAAAAGCTACAGAAAAGAATAATAGAGAGCTTAGGACCTAAACCTAAAGTTGAAAATGCATTGAGTACAACAAGAGGGGAAAAAAGTGGTAAAGATATACAAAAAGATATCTGGAGTTCCTTTGAGTGATACAGTACCAATTCTTCACTGATGCGATTTTGTGTCAATCCCCTTACACTTCCAGATTCTCAATAAATACATTCAGCACCCCACCTTCAAATGAGTACAATTAAGTTCAACTGATTATTGCCTCTAAGAAATACTTACTCTGCTCAACAAATCAATTTCTTCTTTGAGTTTTCCAATCATTTCCTCTTTATCCTGCATCAGTCTCACAAGTCTTAGGTTTTCTTGTTTTTCTCTTACAACTTCCTGGTAAATATAATTACAAAGCATTACTTGGGAAATAACTGGTTGTTTATAATCTTCTTACATGGTATACATCTATAGTTAACAATGACAAATTCCAAATATTGCTAAAGAACCTAAATAATTGGCAAAGGTCCTTTTATCTATACTTTGACATTGAATGCAACATTGTCAGAATGAAGACTTTATATAATTTTTTAAAATAACAAAATTTAAAATATCTATAAGAAAGGAAAAGGAAAATTTTAAGTTTTTCATTTTCCTTTCCTTTAAAAAGATGCCTTGCACTGGCACAGTACTGCACACCTGTAATCCTGACTACTGGGGACCATGAGGCAGGAATAGCACCTAAGCCCAAAAGTTTGAGGCTGGCCTAGGCAACACAGCAGACTTTGTCTCAGGAAAAACAAACAAACAAATAAACAAGGCATGCAAACTATCTTAGATATTACGAAGATTTCTAATGTCTTAAGACAACATTTGATAAGGAAAACCCATACCAGTAATGAATCAGAGAATGAGGGAAACACAAGAGCTATAAAATATGTTCCTGATTAAATTCATACTTATATATGTCTTTAAAATTACAAGATTCTACGACCTACCTCATTTGTATCACCACCTTAAGTTATAAACTAGCTTTTTTTAAAAAAAATGAATAATGTCTTTTGAAGAAATCTGAAAATTCACTAAAAGTATAAAGTTTAAGAGCTAGAAATGTGATTCAGTGGTTTAATTGTAGATAGGTAAATTAATTGGGTATCTTGTAGGCAGTTAGGGCTAACCCAGCCAACATGTAGGACAATCAAGACACATCCACTGAACGCCAGCACTGTGAAAGTAAAGAAACTATCACACCTGCATAGGATGAATAGTAGTGACTGATATTCTAAATAGGTATCAATCACCTGGCTGGGGGAACAAGATCTTCCAAGAAATATCTCTGACCCACTCCTTACCACAGAAAATCCTTGCTCTTTCCTTGTACACTTGTTATGTGACTTGCTTCCCCATGGACCCCCATTTAATCAATATTACCTAAGTGACTATACTTGTTGTAATCTTATTGGTTCATCACAGTTTTTTCCACTTTGTGATTTCTCATTGGATCAATACTACCTAAGCGACTGTACTTGTAATCTTATTAGCTGACTATAGTTTTGTCCCACCTTGAACCTCCCTTGCCTTGTGGCTTTGTCCCATAAAACACCTCTGAGAAGTTGGGTGAGAGGGCAACCCATTTTCTGGTCCCCCTTCTGTCTCTCTTAGACAGAAGCTATTTTTCTCTCAATAAATTTTCCCTACTCTTAACCTTCACTGTTCCTAGAATTCATTCTTTGATTTTAGAGAAGAACACGAACTCACGTTTCGGATATCTACCAGGTTTGGGAGTTATATCTATTCCCCCTATATCATTTTCAAAGGAAAACTCTAAAGAGAAAAACAGTAGTCCTTAATTTTTTTTCTGATTCTGCCAGTTAACTGACAATTGATAAAAGGAAGAAGCTAAAACAGATCAGTTTCTGATATCTGAACTTTTTTTTTTTTTTTAAGCAATGCAACAGCACAGGCTGGGGTTGTAACTCAACATTTGAGTACTTGCCTAGCATTCACAAGGCCCTGAGTTTGATCTTCAGCACTGCAACATTCAACCCACTCTCACTCCTCCCAAAGGCAACAGTATTCTTTAAAAAGAAAAAAAAATCTTACTTAGAATTCAGGACATTGTACTAGGTAGGCCACCTTGGGGGCAACAGGGAGAGAGAGCGAGCTGAAAAGGGCTAGGCCAAGACTTGGCTTCTTTCCTACTAGCCCTCAGAAAAAGCTGTGAGCTACTAGCAATTCAATCCTAGCTCTTATGAAACTACAGAAGCCAAAAACTCCCTTGAAAGCCATTTGTCTGTGTTTTCCACAATATTCAATTTAAACTCATTAAAATTCAATTTAAACTCATGGTTCCAAGTAGAAATGAGTGTTAAAGCTTAGGTGTGGCCTTAAATTAGTGTGACCTAAAAATAATCATAATGTAAAAAATAAAGTTTTTGAAATTAACCTCTACTTAAAACAAACTTTATATCACAGGGAATAATTTCAATTCAATAAAATGAAACATTCTTAACAAAGTAATTCAGGGCCATTATCAATTTTAGAAGCTGAGTATCTATGGAATAAACCTGAGAATAATAATCATTTGAATTATTCTCAAAAATAGTTCTAAGCAAGTTTACACTTAAATAAAATTATTTCAAACACTGAATATAGACCTAACTCAGAAGCACTGGAAAGTCTATTAATAAAAATCTGTGGAGACAATAAACACATAGTAGTATACACTGCCAGCTCAGTTTTCTAAACACTTCAAGGAGAAAAGACCATTCAATATAAAAAGACAACATTTTGCAGAATAGGAATATCCATTAAATATTAAGGAATACAAAATTTTGCTCCATCCCTAAAGTTTTAAACATCATCAAAACTGAAGAGAAAAAAACATTAAGTTAATAAGAAAATATCTAATCACTATGTATCTACAAACTAAAAATATAAGACATTGATTTAAAGCTGCTATTTTACTATATATGGAAATACCAATTAACACTACTCTCTCCCATTAGGGCCCTCTTCTTTTTATTTGCAATATATCAGCCATACAAGTATTTATTTACACTTAGCTACTATTAAACTTAAAAAAGAATTCTGATATATTCATTTTATCAGTCTTAAATAATTTATAATCATACCTTTTCAAGATCTTCAATTTTCTTTTCCAATGTGCTACTTGGGACCAGATTACCTGCAATATTTGTATCTCTACTGTATCTACTAAACCCACTTCTGTCTGTCCGGGAATATCGATTTGAGACATCATCTTCAGAGGTTGTGCTACAGGAATAAAGATACATATTTTATAAAAATTCTAGTACTGTAAAAGAAAAATATCAAAAATATTTTCTATTCAGCCTAAATAAACAATTAACATTCCTGAAGAACATATGGTTATAAAAAACGACCTATTTACAATTGTACCAGACATTGTTTTGGGTACTGAAGATGCTAACAGCAAACACAAGACACTGCCCTTTCAAAGAGCTTTCAGTTTAACAGGAATACAACCAATTGTAATACAGCAATATGAGCATCACCATCAGATCAGTGTAGAGTACTGCAAGAATTATGATAGAGATCTTCTAGCCAGTGATGGCAAACCTTTTAGAGCTTTCAATGATAACAAACAGCCCACTGCGGCATGTGTACCATAGGTTCACCACCGCTGTCCTAGATGATCTATGGGAAGAATCACTTGACCTTCCTTTTTCCTTTAAAAAAATCTTTCATGGACTAATGCTTTTATAAAACAAAATTTAAAAAATGAACTTCTGGAAAATAAAAGTAAAAAAATATATAAAATTTAAGTCAAAATATTTAATTAGATTCAGACCATAAAGTAATAAATAGGATGGGAAAAAAGAATGACAGAAAGTTGCATAATTTTCCTTGAAAGTATGCATGTAGATAATATAAAACTACTTTCACACTAGTAATATTTATCATTTCATACTTTTAACTAAACCAACAGTTGAGTAAACACTACTCAAACACTAATTTATACATCATGAATTAATAACACATGTCAATATTTTAAGTTTTTAATGTAACAAATGAATCTGTTTGTTTGCTGCATTATTTTTACAGACATAAAAATTACCCCCAAAAGTTAGCAGCTCAAAACAACACATATTATTTCAAAGTTTCTTCTGGTAAGGAGTTTAGAAGCAGCGTTACTTGTTAGTTATGATTTTGGGTCACATAAGTCAAGATGTCAGTGAATGCTACAGTAATATGAAGGCTTGACCAGGCTGAAGAACCTGCTTCTAAGTTCATTTATGTGGCTGATGGCAAAAGTACTCAGTTCTTCACCAGCTGTTGGCCAGAGGCCTTGATCCTTCTCTACGTGGACACTTCTACTGGGCTGCGGACCACAGGGCAACTGGTTACCAGAGAGAACATGATAGAATAACCAAGAGAGAAGCTGCAGCCTTTTATAATCCAGCCTCATAAGTGACACACTATCAACATCTACCTTATTCCACTGGCCATGTATCCCTGGTACAATGAGAAGGGATGACACAAGGTATAAATATCAGGAGGTGGGGCTCTCAGAGAGCTATTTTAGAAGCTTGTTACCACACTTGTTAACTCATCTAATTTAGGTTGGACTAGTGACAATGCTACTCGCAAGGGATAAATGTGTACCTTATTTCTATGTTTTGTTTTAACAGCACTCAGAGAAAATAGTCTCACAGTAGAATATTGACAGGAATAGGAGAAGAGATTTTCAGGTAATTTCCCATTACTTTTAAATGAGATCTAAACTAGTAATTTCCACAGTTGGGTTGTGCCCTAGATTATCTACTAGAGTCCAGGAGGTAATCATTGAATCTGTATTTATATCTACCTTTTTAATCTGAAAAACACTAGGATTTTTATATTTAATAACTAGTATGGTTTAATAGTCATTCCTTCTTTAATATGCCAGATGGTCATTTAATACTAAAGGTATCCTGAGGGAATCATTCTTTGTTCACTTTCTTCATGTTATACATTATAATAATGTGAATGTCTATATAATGGACTTAGGAATCATTATTTGGTTAATGAAAACTCACAAGATAAGACTGATGGTGGGAAATTTATGGAGAAAATCAAACCAACTAGGTAACTACAGAGATGTCCTCATGTTTGCTCAACTGGCCAACATACACAAAATCAAATCCATTCTCATCAACTAAAAAAAAACTTTATGCTGATTTCGAGACACAAAATGACACTTTTAAGAAATTCAAATTCTATTCTGAGGCGTCTCTGCTGTGATAGTCATTAAAAATCAAATATACCCGGGGTTGTAGCTCAGTGGCACAATGCCTGCCTGGCAAACACAAGGGTCCCGAGGAGATTGATCCCCAGTATGGGAAGCGGTGGGGATCAAATATGTAAACTGGTAGCTCTTTAAATCTCTGTATCATAAAGTCTTAAAGTTTTCAGAAATAATGAAGATGTAGTCAATTTTGTGAGAACAAATTTTGTACCATAATTAAAACTTAAAGATTAGTCTTTTATCCCTTTAGGTACTGCTTTTGTGATAGATAATATTTATTTTTATGTTACTGTATTGTGAATCCTATAAAATAGTATATAAATAAACATACACACCAACACAGGTATGTAACAAAATTTGGAAAATGTTAGTTTAAATTCATCCATAAGCATTTAGGTTTCTTGCTTTTCTAGCCTCTTATCTGTGTTATCTTTACATTTCACAGTCACATTGGACTTTTCTGTTTCTCAAATGAGCTACATAGTCTATTTCAAATATTTGCACATTCTTATTTCTCCCTTAAGTTGAAGTTTTAAACATTATAGCATAGAGCTACTCAAAGAGGGATCTTTGAACTATTTATTATCAATCTATGATAAGTAAAAAAACTAGAGAGTAAGCATTTAGAAACCTGAATTGCATTTTGACATTGTCATCATTACCGCCAATGCATGATTGGTGGATTTTTCTGTGAACAGGGTGGATGGATTCAGGTACTATGATGAACTACATGCTAATTATGCCCAGCAAGACTATGTTGCAACATACGATATTTTTGTTAGGCAATTATAATTCAGAAATGTGTAAGAACTGAAGAAAATTGAAAGTATTTATTAGGCTTAAAATTTTGTGTTAATGTGAATCAGACTTATTTTTGTTCCACAAATAATCTTTTAAAAATCCATAATAATAAATAAAAATTTTAAAGTAAAAAGTTATTCTTACTCTTAAGTTTCTGAGTTTGTAAGTATTACCTAAATCTTGGAAGTAAAATTTACATTACTTTTAATTCTAATTTTATTGATGACAAAGTAAGCTTTATTGGTCATTTTTGAGAAGTTATGATAATACTTTCTGAATGTGACAATAGTACTAAACTAAGTGACAATGGGAATAATTTCAAAGATACAGACCAAAAGAGTTTGTATTAATGTTATTAAGAAGAAGTATCAGGCTATTCACTTTTAAAAATTTTTATCCAAAATGCAGAAAACCTGCTTTTTCAAATTTGTCATTAAAGTGAAGGAATAGCTCAGTGGTAGAGTGCTTAATTAGCACTCTTATTAGCAAGGCCCTAGGTTCAATCTCTTGTATCACCTCATCCCCCCCCACAAAATTGTCTTTGGTCCTTCATTGATAGCCAGCTGTAATACTTTATCTAGCAAAATTATAGTGAAAAAAGTAGATTCCCAATTTATGAATTTCCTACCCACAGATTTTTTGTTACAAAACTAAAATTTAGAGTCCTATCAAATTTTTAAGGCAACAGATTATAACTTTTTGAAATCTGCAATTACGAAAATCACAACCCACTATTATTACCTCATTATAGAGGCTGTCACCACAAGCTAGGGAAACTTTCCCCGAAAATTTCTAACATATTTCGTCCTTTGATCTTATCTGCCATTAAAACACACCTGATGTTCTGTCCTTGCACAGAAGGATAAGATCATTAGATGAGAAAGAGGAAAAGGGAAGGGGAAAGAGGCAACTTCAGCCAAATAAGTTCAGGGCTGGGGATTTAGCTCAGTGGTGCCACCACCGGCCTCAAAAGCACAAGGTCCCAAGTTCGATCTGTGGTACCAAAAAAAACCCGTCCAACTCACGTACTTAAAAAGCTGAGGACTGAACTGGTTTCTTATCTTGCAAAAACTTTACAAGTTCATCCCAAAGTTCAAATACTCTTGACTGGAATTTTCCCTTTGAAAACCAATGTATAACTCAGCATCTAACAGTTATCAGCTCAAATGATCATAAATTTCCAAGCTAATATTTACTTTTTTAGAAAATGCAAATTTGATGCACTAGCGTTTATTCACACTTTTAGTGAACTACCAACTACAGGTGAGATAGAAAAAAAAGTATCATGTTTTTTGTCTAGGTTTCTGGCTTTAGCAAGAATAAATGTGGATGACCTACTGAAATCTATCAAGTTTTACAAATTTACTTCTGAAAATGCTAAGTTTAGTATACTCCTGAGATATCTAAAAGTAGATGTTTGGTGGTTATTGGTTTTACCGCTACGGAGCTCATGATTTAGGGTCATCAGATATATGTATAGGTAGACTGAAGTCATTAGAATGAACTAAATTTCTAGCACAAATACAAAAAGAGAATAAAGATAAATAGCTGAGTAATGTCAATATATAACAAGCACATACAGCAAAGGAAGAAAAACAGAGAAGACTGGGAAGAAATGCAAGACAGCAACACAGCAACAAAATCAGCTACCTTACAGAAAAACAACAGAATCATTTGAAAGAACTTCTTTTTCATTTGAAAAGTCCAATTTTCTGTATAATCCACAAGATATTCAGGTAGAAACTATAATGTGGACATCTACCAACCAATACCCTCAGAAATATGACTGTCCTTTAATGGTTTTGTGTTTGCTTAATGAACAAGTTTAAAAGAGTATTTTAGAAAGAGGCTGGAGGAGGATCCAAGATGGTTGATGCTCAATGCTCATCTCCTTCATCAAGAAAAACTAGGTCAACAAATGAATGCCTACATTTCAAGGAAAGTGACTGAGGGAGAACACCAGAACTCAGCCAGGGAGGGACAAGAATTCTAGAAGGCACAGAGAGACCTGGGATGGCAGCAGAAACAAAACATACTGCAAATGTGACACCCACAGCCTAGGCCAGGGGCAACTCCCCAATGCCAGGAAATAGCAGACAGGTATTATTATAAAGGACGAGCAGTTGTTAACTACAGGAAAGATCCATAGTCCTTACTGGCTTTAAATCAAATCTGGAGAACTGTTGGTGGGGGGAGTGGGGGGAGT